TTAACTTTTTTAATTATATACTAATAAAAATACAAACTTTCTCATGATTATATTAATAAATTGAATACCATAAGTTAAGTTTAATGAATTGATAGAATAAAATAAAAGAATTGATTTTATATATATTTCAAAACATAACAATGCTATTCTAAATATTTGGGACTAAATTCGTTTATTTACTTTATTTAATACCAAATATTATGAATATCAATTGTTTTGTTTAAAATATATAGTGATCGTATATACTATATATATTGTATTCCAATAATAAGTATTTCTCTTAACTCTGATAAATATAATTAAATATATATTTAGAGCAACTCCAACCCAAAAGTGTCAAAATGAGTTTGCAAATATTCATGTGATATTTAATATTTTATTTTGATATTTATCTAAATTTATTTACTCCAACCATAGGTATTAAATGGTTGTTAGCATTTCAGATTTTGATATTGGAATTCATGACTTCTTTGTCTAACTTACAAGTTACGTATCTAAATTAGTGAAATATTCTTAATCTGAAATATATTTATTTTGTTAATTTAAAATTTTAAAATATTTGTTAAATAAAACTATTTATTTTATAATGTTTATAAGAATCTAATATAGATTATATATATCTATTTTTTTTTGAAATCACAATATATTCGACTGATTTACACAAAAAATAATTAATTTTTATTTTTCCATTTATTATTTATATAAGCATTTTATAGTGACTTTTGTTTACTTGAAATTTGATCAATTTTCATTAGCATAAGCTTTTATGTTAGTTTCTAATATATGGTCATACGTGTAAATCAATTTAAGTTGTATATTAATAGGGATAAATTACGAAAACCTTCTGAACCCAGGCTAATTTAACCAAAATACACCCACGTATTCGTAATTACCGAAATTCCCCTAATGTTTGTTTTTGTCTTACATCGACCCCCTTACAGTATCACTCTTCATGGAATTTTTTTTATTACTTGGAATATTCCCCGAAAAATACTGATTCTACCCTGCACACGCAACATTTATGGTACTTTTTAATGACAAAAAATTACCCCGAGGGGGACTTTACACGGAATCTTAATGTATTCTTCTTAAGAGGGTGTTTGGCTAAGTTTATAAGATGTTAAAAGGAGCTTATAAGATGTTTTAGAGCTTATAAGCTCTTCCAAAGTGTTTGGTAATTTTTTAGAAAAAGATCTTAATTTTTTTTTAAATAAGCTGTTGGAGAGCAAATAAGATCTTTTTTAATAAGTACCTCTACCCCACCTTTTTATTTAAGATCTTTTAATGAGTAAAAATAGGAAATAAGCCCATTATCCAAACACTCTAAAAAATAATCTTAAAAATAAGATGTAACAGCTTATCAGCTCTTAAAACATCTTATCAGACGTAAGAGCTTATCAGCTGTTTAAAATAAGCTTAGCCAAACACCCTCTAAATAACACCTTCCCAACTTTTTTAATTACCTTTACCTCCCCTAAGGGTAATATTTGTATTTAAAAAGTAGGAAAAATGAAATGTCAGATAGAATCCACATTTTTTTGCGATATTATATGGAATAAAAAAGATTCCGTAAAATATCACACCTTGAGGAGGTCGTGTAAGATAGAAACAAACATCACGGGAATTTCGGTAATTACCGATAAATGGGGGTGTTTTCCGTAATTTAGCAAAAGTTCAGGAGGATTTTCATACTTTATCCTATTAACAACGATTATTGTTCTTTTTACGTCTTAACGGCTTATACACTTATAATATTTTAAATAATTTTAATGTCACTTTGATAATATAATTAAATATTAATTTCTAATATATTTAATATGTGTTTTTGGATGCTTCGGCTACCACAAATAAATAAGTTGATATAAAGGTTGCGAGATTGAATATAATTATTTTTTATACAAAGTAATAGATCATTGCAAAAAAAAAACATTGATTTAAAATAAGAGTTAGGATTCTGATTAGTATTAGCATTAGAATTATGATTATAATTAATATTCTTTGAATTAGTAGTGGTATCAAAACAAGGATTATGATTCGGATTCATATAATATTAGAATTAATAATATGATTAGGATTATGACTATGATTAATATTAATATTAATATTAGAATTACAATTAAAATTATGATTGTGATTAGTACTACAATTAGTGATATGGATTAGTATTATGATTATGATTAGTATTAGGATTAGCATTATGATTAGAATTAAGATTATAATTATAATTAGAATTAACATTAACATTAGCATTATCATTAGCATTATTAGTATTAAAATTATTAGGGTTAGGACTAGAATTATGACTAGTATTAGGAATATGATTAGGATTAAGATTATGATTATGATTAGAATCATCAATAGTGTTATGAATAGAATTAGGAATATGACAAGGATTTGGATATTATTACAATTACAATTATAATTAGCATTAGTATATCGAGATTAGTATTAACATAAAAATTAGTATTAGCATTAGTACACGTAAATTAGCATTAACACTAACAATATTAACATATTAGTATTAGTAATAGAATTAACATTTGTATTAGTATTAGTATTAATATTAGTATTAGTATTAGTATTAATATTAGTATTAGTATTAGTATTACTATTAATATTATTATTAGTATTAGTATTAGTATTAGTATTAGTATTAGTATTAGTATTAGTATTAATATTAGTATATATTAGTATTAGTATTAGTATTAGTATTAGTATTAGTATTAGTATTAGTATTAGGATCAATATTAGTATTAGTACGTGTATCGATATTGATTAGTATCAGTATTAGTATCGATATTAATTAGTATCAGTATTAGTATCGATATTAATATCAATATTGGTATCCATATTGGTATCGGTATTGATATCAGCATTGGTATCAATAAATGCGTATACATCTTATCTCTTTTGCAATAGTTATAAGTTGTATTGTTGTTTGAATAATGTGCATCACTAATTAAACGTTGCTAGTGATAAACTTATTGGCTATTTGAATATTATTGTGTTACTTATCTGCTACCGTGTTTGTTAAGTTAGTTATTTTGCAAAAGACTGACATGGTGTAGTAGGTTGCATTCCTCGAAATAGAGTTATACCATATGTTTTAAATGATTTCACTTAATCTTCATATCGTGTTTGCGCGGTTAACATTTTCTTCTTTGTAATATTTAATTTAATTTCATATATTAAAACTCTGAATTAAGAGATAAAGTTTATGTTTTTTTTTTATTTTCTTTCATTTTGTTTTACTTGAATTAGTTTTGTTATAAATAGATAGTCATTTACATATTATTATTTTTCTCATTTTAAAACTGACCTCCATGCAATGCACGGGTGAAGAACTAGTATTACTAATATTACTGTCCCAAACAATAATATTATTGCATGAGACAGTAATATTACGGTCAAACACAGCAAAATTGCAGGCCAAGACGATAAAATCAATTAATACAGTAAAATTACTGTCTCAGACAGTTAAATTACTGTTAGAGAGAGTAATTTAGCAGTCAAGACAGTAATATTAATTATAATAATTTTTTGTAAGGAAAAAAAAAAGTCCACTAACAATTAAATTGATGTCTCCGACAGTTAAATTATTGTTGTAGATAGTAATTTAGCAGTCAAGACAATAATATAAATTAAAATAATTTTTTTTAACAAAAAAGAAGAAGTCAATTAACAGTTAAATTACAGTCTCCGACAGTTACATTACTGTTGGAGACAGTAATTTAGCAGCCAAGACAGTAATATTAAATAAAATTATTTTTTTAAGGAAAAAAAAGATCAATTAACAGTTAAATTACTGTTGGATAAATTAGTGTTGGAGACAGACACTAATTTAGCAGCAAAGACAAATAGTTTAAAAAAAAAAAGTCAACGTCGGAGACCCGGCGGTCAACCGCGGTTGACCTACCGAAAAAAAAAGTCAACGACGGCTGACCGGCGGTTTCCGGGGGTGGCGGGTCAAAATTGGGGTTCAAATTGAGATTATGGTCAAATTGGTTAATAGGTGAAATTGGATTAATTTGAGGTGTAATCATGAAACTGAAGTTGAATTGAGTTTCAAGGAATTTGGAGTAACTTTAGTATATATAAAAGGGTTTTTTTCCTTATTTCAAATAAATTTGAATGAACTGTAAATATTTGAAAGACAAAAAAGTTGGTTGTCTCTTTTTTAATTAAATGCTCTTGTCCATGCCTCTTTGCCATTAACTCATCAAGGAAATATCTGAAACATAAGTTTCAATTACAACCCAACAAAGAAAAACACAAGTGTGTCTTTGAGATTCTGCAATGTTTGCCGAATAGAATCTTCATCTTGGTTGCGATTTATTCTTATTCTCTTCACTTTCTGTACAGATAAATAAAATCAATCAAAAACCTATCTTCGATGAAAGACTTAGTTTTCAATTCTAAGAAAGTCAGGCTTATGATTTATGCATGTAAAAACTCTAACTGAAGAAGTTCCACATAAAATATATCAAATGAAATGGCATCTACCGGTTAATAGTACCTTTTCGAAAATATTTGATTGTTTTGTCTTTTCTTAAAAAGTGCTTTTAATATTAAATGTGTATTGTAGTAATTTAACTAATGCCAGAAGAAAAACAACAAAAAACAAATAGTTTACCGTTAAGCTGAGGGGAAAAAGTAATATGATTCAACTAATGTATATGAAAGCAAATTAAAAAAAGAACATAGTAAAAGAGCACAAATTCTGTTTTTTTACCATTAAAAGCATGATCATAGTCAAAGATAATGAAACTGCTAGGATATAATCATCTAAGTATCATTTCTAAATTTTAACAACTAATAATGAATCAGGAGACCGGAAGTTGGGAAATAGCATACTTAATATTAGCTAACTAATGTATATTAAGAAGTGTATAATTGTTCTGCAACATCAGTCTTGCTCAAGAACTTCTTCTAAATAATCTCAAAAAAAACGTTGATTACCATAAAAATTGGCACATAGATTTGACGAACATTGGTTACCTTTATAGATCAGTAGTTGAAGAATGGATTTTAACGTCAATGGATCGCCACTCCCGCATTTTTTCCACCAGGGATATGCTGCAATCATCCACCTCTACTATGCCGGCAAGGAATCGACCCGGGATGTTTTTCAATTTATAGCAATGCTTAACAATCAAATGTTCCGGATGAAGTCCCGACCTCTGAAGCCCTTTATTGTTTGACTCCCAGTGCTCTATATCCAAGTCTTCAAGTAGCAGAATCCTAAGCCTGGGAAACTCCCCACTGTTGACTATCCAGTGAGGGCCGCAAAAGGCATACCATCGCAGTTTGAGCACTTTAAGATATGGTAATGCTGCAATCACCCCCATATTCTTCCACGGTAATCCACATCCATGCAAACTTATCTTTGTAATGTTCATAGGAAATTTTGGAACACAACGAACAACATGAGAGCTCAGATTAGGATTTACAACAACGCATTTCAATGACTCAAATTCATCATAGCGAGTGGCAAAATGACCGAAAAAACTGAAGGTTTCGATTGACTCGTGTGCTGACTCGATCTGAACAGCTATTCTCTTTAGTTTGGGGATTCTTGAAAGCACTTCCATAGTACAACTGTGAACACTCACACCTGAAATTGTGAAGAGATTCTGAAGATAAGAATCACCGAGAGGAGGAGTTGGCAGGTCAAAGCCCTTGCAGTAAAGTTCTTTTAGTTTATGCATATTCCAGATCTCTATAGGCAGGTAAACTGGACCATTATTCCACAATTTTATGTTATGATGTTGACCCAAAATCAAGACTTCGAGGTTCCAAAGTCTTGATATGGAGTTGGGGAGCTCTCCGTCACACGTGATGGCAAAATACCTTAAGTGAATTAATGCAAGAACTTGATGTGGGAACTCGTAGAAGCGGATCGCAAGTGCATCTAGTATCTTGAGCAACCTTAAACACAAGGGCAACAAGACTGGATATTGTTGTTTTGGACCGTAACAGAGAAGTGATCGTGCATTTGGAACTGATTCCATCCATTCATGAACTTGTGTGAAAGCAAGAACAACATTATTGTGGACGCACAAACGCTGCTGCCTTTGGATGTTCTCTGGCTCACAATCGGTGTACTTTTTGAGGATATGGAAAAACTTTTCACTCTTAGCTTCATTAACACATAGACTCCGAAAGGTGAAATGCAATCTGCAACTCTTAGTTGACCTAGAATCTACAGATGTCTGCTTTTCTCCCAAAACAACAGCATGGCGAATAAGTAGATCCAAGTCATCTCCAACAGTTTTTTCTTCATCATAACCATGAATGACCAAGTCCTCAGAAAGCCATAATTTGATGAGCTTGGATCGAGAAATACCATAATGTTTTGGGAACACACCTATATAGAGAAAGCTTGCCTTTAGATATTGAGGCAACATCAAGTAACTAAAATATAGTGACATTGAGAGGGGTGTATTGTCATCTCTTGTGATGACGAATGGATCTTCATTTTCCGATAATGTCTTCCATTCCTCGAACGACTTACCGCGCAGGTTCTCTCCAACTTGTATAATTGCAGCTGGGAGTCCTTCGCAGTTCCTGGCAATCTGTTTCCCGATTTTCTCAAGTTCTCGATTGCACTTTTCTTCACTATTACTAAATGCCGTTTGACGAAGTAGTTTCCAACTTTCTTCGTCCTTCAGCAATGGTACTAGGAAGTCATGGGTTTCGTAGTTGTAATACCTTACGGGTTGGACGTGAGATATGATGATGACGCGACTTTCTCTTGTGTTATTTGGGAAAGCATCATATTTTAGCTCATGCCGGAAAACAGACCATACGTCGTCTAACACAATTAGATACTTTTTACTAGACAAAGCCTCCCTCAATCGCTTCTTCAAATAATCATATTTATCGTCAACAACATTATCAGAAATGTTGACGCCAAGTTGATTGAGAACAAGCAGTAGAATATCTTCCAATAGATTATAGCTTGGGCCGATGTGCAGAAATAAACGAGTTTCGAACTCCTTTACAACACGCGGATCGTTGTAAACTTGTTTGACGAGAGTAGTCTTGCCGATTCCGGTCATGCCCACAACCGATTTAACTAAGTCATGGGATATGGGATCGAAAATCCATTGTTTAAGTGCTCTAATTTGGTCATCCAATCCCACCAGAAGATTATGTTGTTTATTACAAGTATTATAATATGAAGAAGAAGAATTTTTTTTAGAATACCTGCAGATCTGCAGATCAGTTGCTATTAGAAACGAACAAATTTCGTGTTCGACTATTTGCAGTTGCTGGGAGAGTGACAAAGTATAACAAATGTCACTCTCATTTGTGAGTGGAAAATAAAAGAATTGGATTAATTCCAAAGTGCGATCCATTCTCAGCATAGGAACTAGGGATGGCAATTTGACCCGCCCCGACGGATCCCCGCCCCGCCCCGCCCCGAAATTTTCGGGTATTACCCGCCCCGAAAAAAAATGGGGCGGGTATGGGGATTAAAATTTTTTTTTGACCGGGTACGGGTACGGGGATGGGTTTGCCTATACCCGCCCCGTAGACCCGCCCCGTACCCGTCCCCGTACCCGCCCCGCATTATTTATATATATAATATATTTTTTTTAATTATAATATTAAATATAAATAATTAAATAGTAGTAATATATTAAATATTAGTTAAAAATGGAGATTTTTAGGTTTCCATTATATAATTAAATATTAGTATTATAATTAAATAATGATTTATTTGTTGAAATAAACCTTTAAATTATAAGTAAAGTGCATATTTATTTATTAAAAAAAAAAGAAAAAAAATAGACGGGGATTTTTACCCGCCCCGATGCCCGTGGGGATTTTATGGGGCGGGTATGGGGATTCTTTTAATACCCGTGGGGATTTTTGATGGGGATGGGGATGGGGATTTCCATTGCGGGGCGGGGATGGGGATTGCAAAACCCGCCCCATACCCGCCCCATTGCCATCCCTAATAGGAACCCATTTCGGAAATCCCCTCTCTCTCTCTCTCTCCCAGTCTCTCTCTGATAAAGTACTAAGGCTCAATTTGATTACATTTACAAAAATATAGTTTGCAGTTCATCTGGGTTGTGTTTTCTTGGGATTACTATGGGCCCTACTCTGATTTGGCTGGGCCTATCCTTATCCAGCACTTTCTTGGACCGGCCTCTAAAAGGCCTAAACATGCCCATCACATTCAAAAAATTATATTACCCTAAAAACTCTAATTTAATTTGTTAATCAATCACAATAAAATTGAAATACAGAGAGAGAAAATATTAAAATTTTACGGCATCATAGCATATTATTATAAATTGAAAATATCAATTAATCAAAAAATTAACGTCGGAGACTGGCAGTCGACGCCGGAAACCGGCGGCAGTAAAAAGAAAAAAATTATAAAAAAAAAAATCAACGCCGGAAATCGGTTGTCGAAAAAGCAGACAAACATAAGAAAAAAACATCAACGCCAGAAATCGACGACAAAAAAAAAATTCAAAAAAAAGTTAAAAAATAAAAAGTCAAAATTGATTTTTGTGGTCAAAATTGATTAAATTGAGGTTACAATTAGGAGTTGGGTGTAATTTTGTCATATACTTTAATTTTGCCTTTATTTATGATACGTATTATAGGATGAACTTATTGGCTAAAAAAATATAACATCTGAACTTATAATAATAAAGATGGTTGGTCAGAGAACTTATGTATAAAAATGAAAAATTAATGTATATGACAAAATTACCCTAATCTTTTACACTCAATTCTTAATTGTAACTCCAATTTAATCAATTTTGAACACAAAAATTCAATTTTAACTTTTTTTCTAAAATAATTTTTTTGCTGCCGGTTTCCGGCGTCGACTTTTCGATTTTTTTTCTGGTCTGTTTTTTCCGCTGCCGGTTTCCGGCGTTGACTTTTTCGTTTCTTTTTTTTTCAAAATATTTATCCGTTTTTTTACGCCCGCCGCTAAACGTTGACCATTACTATATTGTCATTAACAGTAACTATACTGTCACTGACAGACTGACAGTACATTAATGTAATTATAATGTCGTTGACAGTACATTAACGTAATTGTACTGTCGTTGACAGTATATTTATTTAATTGTATTGTCGATGACAACACAATTAGAATCCGCGACAATATTTTCTTTTTTCTGCTTTTTGTTTTGATTTGTTGACAAGTCAACGTAATTATATTACTGTTATTGACAGTACATTAATGTAATTATTGCAAACACAATAAGGGGAAATGAGTGATAACCCCCTAGTTTTAAAAATATATATGGGGAGGCCCCATAAATTTTTTCTCCCTAGTCAAAAACCCAAATTCTGATCTTAATTAGGGAGACCCCCCTAGACAACTTAAAGTACCTATTTTATCCGTTTCGTTTTAATTCAATACACAAAACCCTAGCCCCACCCTTCTTTTTTCCACTCACAGCCGTTCTCCCTAACTCTCTTTTTCTCTCAAACTCACGTGACTTTCCCCTCTCTTCATCTCTCTCTCTAACTTTCTCCTCTCTCTTCATCTCTCTCTCTCTCTAACTTTTTCTTTCTAATTTTCCTCCCTCTCTTCATCTCTCTCTCTCTCTAACTTTCTCTCTCTAACTCTCCCTCTTACAAATCCTCCGCCGTCAGATCTCCTTCCCCCACCGCCTTGCGCCGATTGTCACTATTTTCCACCGCTGCTCTGACACCGTATTCCGCTGCTCCGACACCGTCGCACGCCGCTGTTCCGCAACCGCCTTGCGCCGGCCATCGTTGCTCCTCCCATCGTTTTGAACTCTGTATTAAAACATCTACTTCCGTTTGAAATGATTTCTACGTTATTGTTTTAGTTTCGTTTCTTTTTTTTGGTTGGGGAGGGCTCAAACCAGATCTACTATTTCTTATAAAAAAAAAAAAACCAGATCTACTATGTTTTTTAAGATCTGTGAACAATTAATATTAAAATATTTTTTTTTTGGATTAATTTGATTTTTTATTTTGTTTGATTCTTATCTTTTTCATTTTTATTATAAATCATATGTAATTTATTTTTTGTATTTATTTGAAGATGATTCAAAATGCCTCAACTGTGAGATTTGTGAAAAATTAATATTAGAATCTTTTTTTTTGAATTAATTTAATTTTTTATTTTGTTTGATTCTTATCTTTTTCATTTTTATTATAAATCATATGCAATTTATTTTTTGTATTTATTTGAAGATGATTTGAAATGCCTCAAGTGTAAGAGCTTTGTTTGTCTTTAGTAAAAATTTAACTAGTAGTGGTTATTTACATGGGTGGTTTGAGTAAGGTGAATATACAGTTATATTTAGTCATATACAGTCATATATAGTCAGTCATATGTAGTCATGTATAGTCATGACTACATATAACTATACATGACTATAATACTTGTAGTACACCATAGTCATTTGTATCGATTTTAGTACAATAAATTTATCACAAAAAAAAAAAATCATGGTTTTTTGTATTTTTCATGTAATGTAATTTGAATTTTGCAGGTATTTTTTGAGTTCACCAAAGTATCTTTTGTACAACCATCATCGAATTTTGCAGTTATTTTTTGAGTTTTGGTTTTAATATTTTTTCTTTTTTTTTTTTCGTGTGAAGCCGTGAGTTTAATTTTAGGAGTCGACTTGTACATAAAACGCGATTGTTGTGGCAAGAAATATAAAAAAAAAACAACTTGAAACTTGTTCCTGGTGGTGGTGCGACAAAACTGACTGTTCATCCATTGAAGGCATAGAAAAGGTAATGAATTTTAATGTGCTTCTTAATATAGTGAATCACTGTTTATTGGTCCTCAAATGATTTGTTTACTTTTTTTTTATACTTGGGAGTATATGTAGATTCGTGATGAGAATATTTTGTGGGTAATATGATATTGATATTTTATTTATCGAGAATGAAATAGGTGACTACTTTACGTGTGTTTCAACTATTATTTTATCTATGGTGTTCCACTTCAACTTGCTTTGATCTTTGACCTTTGGTTATACGAAGAATAATGACTAACATACTCTGTTTGTAATTTGATTTTGATAATATAAGCTGTCTCGTATCACCTGGAGAACAAAGTCAGGTACTTGAAGGGACAAATAAAGTCACATACATGTATATAGTCACATGTGGTCATATATATGTAGTCATATATAGTCATGTGTAGTAACATACAGTAATATATGGTGTAGTCACATATAGTAATATATAGTTACGTGTAGTAACACACAGTAATATATGATGTTGTCACATGTAGTAATATATAGTTATATATAAACTATGTAGTCATGTAGTCATATGTAGTCATGTATGAGTTATGTGGGGAGTATCTACGTATACCAGTAGGTGATAGTGCGTGTGTGCACATTTAAATTTGAAGCAAAATTCGTTGTTTGTTTTAACTCTTTTTTTTTCACAGGTCTTGGTGTTTGAACTACTATGTAGTAAGTTTTTGCAGAGTGGATTGTGTTCGTTGTTCAAAACAAGCGGTTATCGTGTTGACAAGTGCGATTTGAGTCAAATTTAGTCGTATAGATAACTGTAGTCATGTATAGTTCCATGTAGTTATATATATTTATATACAAGCTATGTGGTTTTTCTGATGTATAGTGATCTTGATGATTGTTTTTTTTTTTCACTTTTTTATTAGGCATTAAATTATTTATAATATCAAGAATCAAATTTTGAATTTTTTTATTGGTATAGATGATTTTTTATATATATAATCAACGGTTTTTATAATCGATTGACCATAACTTTGGGATAAAAAATAGTACATGGCTATATATAACTATACATGATTGTGGTATACTATAGTCATGTGTGGTCAATTTTAGTACAGTAAATTCAAAATTAAAAAAAAAATTAAAAAATTAAAAATTAAAAAAAAATTAAAAAATTAAAAAAAATTAAAAAAAGAAAATTAAAAAAAATTAAAAATTAAAAATTAAAAATAATTAAAAAATTAAAAATTAAAAAATTAAAAAAATTAAAAAAATACAAAAAGAGGGTACGTATAAAAAAATAATAATAAAATAAAAATTTATAATTTTTTATTAAAAAATCTGAAAAAATGATAATGCATGTCTAAAAATGTGGAGTGCAGTTAGCTATAATGCTGAATGCAGTTGGAAAAGTTGAATGCAATTGGTTAAAATTTATAAATAAGGGCACAATAGTACTTTTGTCTCTCCAGGGGTGTATCTCAAAGAAAGAATTTTAGGGGTGGACTTATCCCTATATATTTTCCATTCTAGGGGTGTATATCAAATGGCCCCACACAATAATGTTATTGTCAACCACATCAATAATATTATTTTTTGGGTTTTGTTTGTTTTGTTTGAGTTGTTGATGGAGTAATGTAATATATTACTACTACTATTGTAATATTACAGTAAACACAATAATATTATTGTGGTTGATGGTAATATTACTGTTGTTACAGTAATATTACTGTTGTTACAGTAATATTACTGTCAACCACATCAATATTAATTTGTTTGGCCTTTTATTATGTTTACCATTGAACCGTCAACATATTAATATTACTCTATTACAATAATAATGACTTTTATTTTGTTAATATTATTGTGTTAGAGATTAATATAATAATATTACTGTGTTAAATTGTAGTATAGTTAATATTACTATGATTAAATTTAGAAACATATTCAATAGTGTTAGAGAATATTATATTATAGAACTCTTGTAATACTAGGATTCTAGTATGATTGAGTTACCTAGATTAGTTAGGATTTAGTTACCTAGTCAAACTCTATTACCTTGCAATATTTCTCTATATATATTCCATGTAATCAACCCATAACATAATGGGGGTTTTTATTCTATTACGTATTATTATTTCTCTCTTTCTCCTATTCTATTCTTCCTATATGGTATCAGAGCACCAGGTTTAGGTGTTTTAACCTAGCCGCCTTTCTTCTCCATGGCGGTGACCACCCAAATTTCTCCTTCCCCCGGTGGTGGTACTCTAATATTTTTTTCGTTTTTTTCTATCTTTTACATGAACACCACCTGAATTTTCTCCCTTCCCCGGTGGTTCTCTATCTTTTCCGTTCTTCTTCTCCATGGCCTAAAACCTAGCCGCCGCTCTCTTCTTCTCCATGGTCGGCGACCACTAAACCAATTATCTCCCTCCCGGTGGTGGTAATTTATATTATTTTCCGACATCTTTTTCTTCCTAGTCGGTTATTCTCAAATCTCTTTATTCTCTATATCCTTCTTTTCATTATTTTTCTCCCTCCTCTCTCTTATCTTCTCTCTATCTCGATAACAAAAAAAAAAAAAAAGAGAGGTTGCTTATTTTTCACTCACCCGTTTATTATTATTATTATTTTTTTATCAATTGGACAGATATTTCCACAGAGGAATTCTCTAGCATTGTGTTTCGCCTTTTCTGTCCAGTCTTCACTTTTGGAGTATATTCGTTCCGACTGCGGGAACGTGTTAGCAAGTGATTGTCCAGTCTTCACGTTCGTCACGTTTCGACTGCGAGGGTGTGTTAGAGAATATTATATTATAGAACTCTTGTAATATTAGGATTCTAGTATGATTGAGTTACCTAGATTAGTTAGGATTTAGTTACCTAGTCAAACTCTATTACCTTGCAATATTTCTCTATATATATATTCCATGTAATCAACCCATAATATAATGGGGGTTTCTATTATATTACGTATTATTATTTCTCTCTTTCTCCTATTCTATTCTTCCTATAAATAGTTTTGAAATATCTGGGTATGGCAAGAAGTATGGGCCGAACTAGGAAATAGATTTTCAGCTATCTCCTATAACCATTATAGGGCTTGGTTTGGTTTATGGGGTTCTGGAACCGAAAATCAATGAATTGGTTATCATGGTCGAAATTGTGAAAAAAAATGAAAAGAAAAAAAAAGTCAAAAGATATTGGTGTGATGGGTTTTCGAGACTTGTTTAACTTTACTAGGGCGTTATTTAATCCTTACTAGCTAAACACCCTTGGCAGATTTTAACTTGTCCGGATCTCCTTTTGTCACGGTTACTCAAGGCAAGATATTTCCCAAATGAATATCTTTGGATGGCGGCGGTAGGCACTAGGCCCTCCGCGACTTGATGCAGTTTACATAAGGTGCGGTCAGCTCTTCGATATGGGGCTAGGATGAGCTGGGGCGGACCCAAGGTATGTCTTTGTTGGGGGGGGGGGGGGGGGGGGGGGGCCCCCAAAACCCCCCTTTAGAAATTTTTTTTACCCCCTTTTTATTATTTGTTTAAAAAATGGGGGTATTTATCTTTTAATTTAAACCCTTT